AGAAAGTTACCTACTTTCTTTGACCAACAATCTCCCACTTGAGGACCGATTTCAATCTGTCCTCACACCTTGATCAATAGTAGTCTTCTCTTGTCTCGTTATCCTTGTAAGCTAACCGAAGTTGAGCATAACTTCAGCTTGTCAATAGTCACCACCTTTGTTAGCATATCTCGCTGGGTTCTTACTTCCCACAATTTTCTTCAATGTTAGCATCTCATCCTCAAGTAGAGATCCGATGAAATGATAACGTATGTCGATGTGTTTGGTTCTGGAGTGAAATGCTCGAATTTTTTGCCGGATGTATTGCACTCGACTATCACCGTGCAAAACACTCCTTTCTTGAATGAATCCCAACTCGCCAACAATCCTTGAAGCCATATCAATTCTTTATCGGCTTCGTCATCGCTACATACTCGACCTCCGTAGTGGATAAAGCAACAATCTTCCGTATCCGCGACATCCAACTAACAACTGTAGTTCCAACAAGTAAACACATACCCAGTGGTGCTTCTTCGGTGATCAACTTCACCTCCAAAGTCTCGCATCTACGTAACCCCGCAATTTTAGATCTCCCTTTCTAAAATACGTGACATTTTTCCGTCAGTGCCTCGTAGATACCTTAGAATCCATTTGATCGCTTCCCAATGAGCTTTTCCCGGATTTGACATGAATCCGCTTACAACTCCCACCGCATGGCCAATGTCCGGCCTCGTATGCACCATCGCGTACATCAAACTTCCAATGGTCGAAGCATACGGAATCTTAGCCATTAACTCTTCTTCTTCCTTTGTTTGAGGAGACCGATCCTTGGATAGACGAAAATGGCAAGCCAAAGGTGTATTGACCGGTTTGGCATTGTCCATGTTGAATCTCTCGCAAAACACGGTTGATGTACTCCGCTTGAGATAACTCGCAAAACTCCTTTTTGCTTATCTCTCGTGATTTGCATTCCAAGAATCTTCTTTGTCGGGCCTAAGTCCTTCATGTCAAATTCTTTTGACAACTCGCTTCTTTAAGTTTATGATCTCATTCATATCTCGAACCTCGCTACTAGCATATCATCAACATAAAGTAGCAAAATGATATAACCTGGACTTATACCTCTTGAAGAAACAATGATGATCGCGTTGCACTTCGAAAACTCTCCTTGTGCATGAAGCTTTCGAACTTCTTATACCACCGTCTTGGAGCTTGTTTCGTGCCATACAAGCTCTTTTTCAATCTGCACACCAAGTTCTTCTTTCCTTCGAAAACCTTCAGCCTGGTGCATGTAGATCTCCTCATCTAAATCTCCATGAAGAAATGCGGTCTTCACATCTAATTGCTCTAGGTAGAGCTCCTCACTAGCCACAATACTTAACACAGATCCCGATAGTATTGAGCTTTACAACCGGAGCAAAGATTTCAGTAGTAGTCGACTCCTTCTTTCGCCGAAATCCTTTGACGACCGACCGAGCTTTGTATCTCTTAGAACCATCATGGTCTTCCTTCACTCGATACACCCATTTGTCAGTGAAGTGCTTTCTTTCCCATAGGTAACTTGACTAGTTTCCATGTCTCGATTTGAGATTAAAGACTTCATCTCGCTCTTTCATGGCAAGCTCCCACTTGCTAGCATCCGTGGCTTGACAAGCTTCCGTATAATCTTCGTGCTCCCTCCATCAGCCAACAACATATAGTCCATGTATCTCCCGTTAGGCACATGAGGCCGAGAAGACCTTCTCAATACAGGAGTTGGAGTAGGAGGTTCCGCTTGCACATCAAGTTCTTCAACCGATTCCTCCGGCCGAGGACTCCTCATTATAGGACTTTCTCGGGATATCTTCCACCTCCGCATAAACCGGCCCACTCGCTTCCGAGTTGCCGGCACCTGTATTATGCTTGTCCTTGTACATCACTCTTTCATTGAAGATTACGTCTCTGCTGCGGATCATCTTTTTGTTTTCATCGTCCCATATGCGGTAGCCAAACTCATCTTCACCATAACCAAGGAAAGTACATTTCTTTGATTTTGGATCAAGTTTGTTTCCGCCTTGATCACCGATATGCGCATATGCTACACGACCAAAAACTCTAAGATGTGAGAGTTTTACCTCTTTTCCGCTCCATACCTCTTCTCGGTATCTTGTGTTCCAATGGTACCGATGGACTTCGCTTGATCAAGTAAGCCGTCGTGTTGATCGCTTCGCCCAAAACCGCTTTGGTAAGCTCGATCGCACACGCATGCTTCCGGCCCTTTCAGTCAACGTTCGATTCATACGCTCGCCTACACCATTGTGTTGAGGCGTACCCGCACTGCTCTTCCATTCCGATTCCGTGCTCATAGCAAAACTTCTTGAATTTGGTGTCTACATATTCACCACCATTGTCTGGATCCGAGCTTCTTAATCTTCAATCTCGTCTCATTTTCCACCATAGCTTTCCAAATCTTGAAAGCTTCAAATACTTCCGACTTATATTTCGGAAAGTAAACCCATACCTTTCTCGGAGTGATCATCAATGAAAGTCACGAAGTAATGCTTCCCACCAACGGATGGGACAGTCGTTGGACCCCAAACATCGAGTGGATGAGCTCAAGCTTCTCTTTCTTTGGGGTTCTTTTACTTGTCCGAAAGCCGACTCTCTTCTCGCTTTCCAAGTATGCGATCTTCACACATGTCAATATCTACCGATCGAAGACTCGGTAATTTTCCTTTCGAGTGCATGACCTTCATTCCTTTCTCACTCATATGTCCAAGTCTTTGGTGCCATATGTTGGAATTTTCATTTGTCGCAATCGCAATCAAATGACATGCTCCTCGTAGCCTTGTAGAGAGTTCCACTCTTTTGCCTCGAGCAATCGTCATCGCACCTTTGAGATCTTCCATTCATCACCGTGGAAGATTGTCGTATAGCCTTCACTAGCTAATCGACTCTATCGAGATTAAGCTCTTTGTCGGTCTGGAATATGTCCGACATTTTTCAATTCCCATACAGACCCATTCAGCCTTAATCCTTATCGCACCTTTGCCTACAATCTCACATGACTCGTTCATTACCAAGGTAAACCTTACCAAGGTTTCCGGAACATAATTCTCCAACAGCTTCCTTCCGTGAGGTAGCATGAAAAGATGCTCCGGAGTCTAACACCCAAGACTCCTCCCCGCCTTCAAGAGAGCATATCAACGCCTCATCTTTTCCCGAGGTGGAGGCAACGTTTGCTTCGTCCTTTGCTCCTTGATTCTTCCGTGCACTCTTGCACCGGTTTCGAAGTGTCCGGTCTTCCCACAATTCCAACACTCGATCGTTTTTGAGTTGTGGGAACTACGATGATTTCTGGACTTGGACCGCCTGTCCTTTGATTTTCCATGTCCAATTTCTTTGGTTGAACTTCTTCCTCTTGACTCGTATGCACATCGAAGAGGTTGATGCTTCACCCGACTCTCTCCACGGATCTCTTCGCTGAGAACCAAATTTTGAACATCATTAAATCTTAACTTATTGTTTCCCGATGAGCTACTCACAACTGTGACCGTAGCATTCCAACTCTCCGGTAGGGAAGACAAAAGTATTAAAGCCTCGTACTTCATCATCGAATTTGATGTCAATAGAACTCAACTCGGGTTGTTATAGTGTCGAGTTCATTGAGATGATTTGCCACCGAAGCACCTTCGGACATCCGCAGGTTGAACAATCGCCTCATCAAGTGAACTTTGTTTGAGGCCGATGGTTTCTCGTACATGTTGGAAAGAGCCTTCATGAGATCTCGAGGTCGTCTTTTCTTTCACAATGTTGAAAGCAACATTACGGGATAATGTTAGACGAATAACTCCAAGAGCCTCGTCTATCAAGGAGTCTCCATTCTTCCTCTTTCATGGTTTCTCGGCTTCTCCCCGTGAGTGGTTGATGCATCTTCTTCTCGATACGTATAATCCTCTATCTCGCATCTTCCGAAGCCAAAGTCTCGTACTGTCGAACCTTTCAATTTTCATTTTTCCTTCGTCTGCAGCCATCACTCCAACTCGATCCGACTTATCTGCTGGATCATTTCGACAATTTCGTGAGCTACCGTGTTTCGTAACACGATCGCAGGCAAATTTGTAAGCGCCGACAAAATTTGCACTATTCACGTTTTCACTATTCACGTGAATAGTAATTTACTATTCATATGAATAGTAATACCACAAAAATTACAGTAACTAACAACCAGCTCCGATACCAGCTTGTTGGGAAAAATATGCGAATCTTCCCATATGGTCGATCTCGTGAAAGTGAAATAAAAGCTGAATAATTGCACACACAAGTTGATAACGGAGTTCGGCCAATAATGCCTACGTCTCCGACTACTACAGATCTCTTACTAGGAGAAAAGAAAAATACACAAGTGTTTACAAAACACTCCCAAAACACTCACAACCCACAACCCAATTACACCCAGAAGCTAAACTAAAACTCTCTAGTTTTTCTGCCTCTCACTGGTGCCACTCTTTCTTCTCTAAGAGAAGTAGTATTTTGTGTGGGATGGGATGATTTTGCTTGAAGGAAGAAGACCAATTTATAGCAAAAATTGGTATTGTGCATTACAATAAAAAAATGCCTCTTGGGCACCTCATGCTTGAATAAAAAAATTTGCACCCACCCTTTTCTTCCATTCTTTCGGTGCAAGTGAGAAAGTTACCTACTTTCTTTGACCAACAATCACGTATTTTTGGAATAAGTGATACATGATCAATTTATAGGTACTTAGATATAAACCCTCAACTACGTGCATTTAATACAACTACTACCTTTCACCTACATACATTCAATATAACCACTATTTGTTAACTATATATATTCAATACAACTAGTATCTCACAACTACTACCTCTATTTAATGTTTACCTAACAAACAATACTATAAGACTTTTCATCAAACCTCAAGAAAGATGAACTAAAACCTTTATTGTGGCCACCATATTATATATACTGAATCTTCGAATTGGTGACGTCATAGACAAAGTGCCTCCAAGTAAGCACATTCATCTACCATCCCATAACGGTGACATCACATCGTTGCAAACGGTATCATCCTCAGGCCCAGCGCATGTAGCATACGTATAACGACAATTAGCAGAGTCTCTTTCTGTTGAACCTGATATTTCACCAATAACATATTCTGATTCATTTGATGAGGCATTAATCAATGTAGTTGTTGTTGACATCATTTTGAGACTTTCCAATTCCATTGCAACTTCCTTCATGGTAGGTCTTTCCTCACCTCTAAGCCTCAAGCACCATTGAGCAATGTTGGAAACTTGCTTCACCTGCTCACTATTTCCTTCATTGACACAATCCTCGACAATTTGGAACAAGCAATCATCCTTCACAGCCGAAAGGAAATACAAGGCCAAATTCCTCTCCTCCTCTGGCATGTCAAAAGAAAGTGCCCTTCTTCCAGTTAGCAACTCAGCAAGTACAACACCAAAGCTATACACATCACTTTTCTCAGTCAGTTGACTGGTCTGAAAGTATTCAGGGTCAAGGTACCCAAGAGTTCCCTGAACCAAGGTTGTCAACTGGCACTTGTCACGCGGAACCAATCTAGAGGTTCCGAAGTCAGAAACCTTAGCTGTGTATTTGTCATCTAAGAGTATGTTAGTTGACTTGAAGTCCCTATGGATGATTGGTATGGAGGCAGAGGAATGCAAGTATGCAAGCACACCAGCTGTTTCTGCTGCTATTCTTAGACGTGTTTCCCAGGGAAGCGTGGTGTTTTCATTGTGAATGTGGTCATAGAGTGTTCCGTTGTTCACAAATTCATAAACTAGCAGTGGCATTTCTGTCTCTAGACAGCAACCTAGGAGTTTGACCACATTTCTGTGGTTAATTTGGGAAAGTACAACCACTTCATTGACAAATTGTTCAGTTTGGCTGTGGTCTACTAGTTTTGATTTCTTTATGGCAACAACTTGGTCATTTGGAAGGATTCCCTTATAAACTGTGCCGTATCCTCCTCTGCCAATGATTCTGCTCTCGTGAAAGTTTTCAGTGGCTTTCTTTAGCTCTCTTGCAGTAAATATTTTAGCTCTCTCAGATGATCCCTCCATGTTTGAAATTTGCTGCTGTAACATTAAGCCACCATTTCTCTTAAAATATCCTGCTGTGAGCTTCACCTGTTTCCTTTTACGAAACACGTGGTATAGCCAGCCGCTACCAAATAAAAACAGCACAAGACCTATGCCAGTTCCTACATCGCCAAAGTTGCTTTTTGGATCAGTTTTTAATTTTGTTATGCTTTTGCAGGCATGTCATTCACATATATCTTTGAATTAGTTAACTTTAAAGGTGACCCTTCCCTCGAACTTTATTTCCGGTAGCAGATACCAATCATTACACTTCATACTATCTACTTGCAAACAAATGTCAAGATTTGGAGAGCTGTAAATCTAGATTTTTCCTATGGAATATGTACTTACAGATAGTTGCAAAACGTCAAAAGTTTTAGCTTATAAAAGCAAGCAAAAAGACAAAGCAATAGATTACCAGAAAAAAGAAAAATAAAAAATGTTCAAACAGATCAAAGATCTTAAAATAATGGAGCAAAACTATGCACAATTTATTTCATATGCCTTTCTTTTTCTTTTGTATTTGTCTTGTTAGTTTCATTTCACTGAGTACTATGATGTAAACCAAATAAATAGACGTACCTATCAAAATCTCGTTAACAACATGTTGTAGATTCGAGACACAGCCACTTCCTCCTTTTCTGCCATCTCCCTGGTGCTTCCTGTTCTTGGGACAAGAACAATTATAGCTCCCAGGTAGGTTAATGCAAATGTCTGAACAGTCATTTAGACTCGGATTGGCACACTCGTCAATATCTTGTAATGAAATATGCAAAAAAACAGTTTACATTTCATTCATTTATCTAGCAAACAAATAATAAATTAGACTAATCACAACTTTGCGGGAATATAATCTATACCTTGGCATCCACCATGAAGGTATGCATTTCCCACATAACCTTCTAAGCATCCGCAGAGATACCCTGGTCCATTGTGAGAATCAATACATACGCTATTTTCTTGGCAGACATAACTAGTCAAATTTTTCTTAGCTTCTTCACATGTTAGATTCCCAACAGCCCAATCAAGCACTGTGGGAACTGTTCTTCTCTTCTGCAGTTTGATGAAGTCATCCGTTGAAAACTTGAAAGAGTCTTCTTCAACCAAAAGAGAGTAGCTACAAGGAATATTCATATCCCTATGCCGCAAATTTGATCTCAGGACACGAGCTTGATATGCTAAAATGTTTTTTGGGATAGAGGTTTGGCAGAAACCAATGCCAAACCGGGATCCATTGGTTGAACTTTCTACACTATTACAAAGTGAAAAACACCCTCCAGCCGAGTAGCTGTTCCCAATTGTTGCATTGATGGTCGAAAGGGTGTCGCATCCAATTCCAACGAACTTGTTTTGGGTGTATGAGAAGGGGAATGCTTGCAAAGTCATAGATGAGTTCCCTGAATCCACTAGCACACCCTTTTCATCATAACAGACATAAGCTACTGGGGATTTTACCTGCAAATGACCATTCAATGACACCTCTAAGATCTCAATATTTTTTGTCACATTCCACAGAAATGGTTTTGGAGGCTTGTGACTTGAGTTACAAGCAACATGAAAGTTGTTGTTCAAGTAACAGTCCTCAGTTGTACCAAATGGGTACGGAATGCTAACACTTCCACATTTACTTTTGCAGCTAGGATGAATTGTTTGTGACATTGCTGAGATCACTACTAGCAAGCAAGCAACTAGCACAACTTTGGTACTATCAAGTGAGGAAGCCATTGCTGCATGCAATTCATCATCAAGAACTTTGAGATTTAAGCAATAGCTGACATCGCCATGAATTTTGACAGCTCAAAATTCAGGCCGTAGAAGTCAAGCTTCAATTGTTACTTTTTTTTTTTTTTTTTTTTTACAATTGTTGGATGTGTCTTTTGGTTTAGGAGAATAAATATCACTTTGATACCTTCTTAACTGTTGCAGCTAGACTTCTATTGGACCTACAATTGTATTTTACTATTTAGAGAACTATGTAGAAGAATCATTATCTTGGAGTCAAGGTCATAATAGCGGGTATATAGGATAATAAACTCATTACAGATAAGTTCTGTAGTAGTTATTTGAATAAAGTTTGTGTCAATTTTTTATATTGGTAAAAGAGTAGAGTGGGGGACAGGGGGTGAAATTTTTATCCAAGAAAGCATTTTGGGAGTGAGTAAAAGGTCATTCGAGAAGTTGTAAATCCTTCGGTGCTATGGTAAAGGCAACGTTGAAATCTTCTGTTGCTCCTTAGTCCTATCAATTTACGAGGCCGTGGCTATGTCAAACATTGTCTGTCCTTGAAAAGGAAGAAGAAAAAAGAATTCTAGGATTCTAGGTTGTTTAGGTAATTGGCCAGTTCTTTCTTTTTTCTTACGACTAATAATCGGACATGTGCAAAGACTTAAAAAAGAGTTTGCTCCATTTACGGAATTAACGAGAATTGGGAATAAATTTTAATCTACTTTAACATATCCTTCGTATGAGGATATTGTGAATGATCTAATTATATACTGAAAATGTTGAGCAATAACGATAAATTGGCAACTGAATAATAAACCAGAGCAAGGTTTATGTTCCAATAAATGATTTGGGGATGGAGTAAGAAGAAGTAGAGGAAAAACCATGGGTAAACATTAAGCACATGAATTATTTAAAAGTATTCAAATAAATTTAAATAGATATCAAATCTGAAATGAACTTTTTTATGTTATGATATTTTATATTAAAAGTAAGTTTGTATAAAATATAGAAATATATTTTAAGTATATATAATAATGGATAAATATCACTTGTTATTTCATACGTGTAATTTCAATGTATAGGTATCATTTTATATTTGGCAGTTTTTTCTATTATATTTTAATTTCTTTTCAAATTGTATGTGCAACAAAAACTTGTATATCGTGGAAAATTTAATAATAGTTTGATTTTATAAATTTGTGTTTTTTATTTAGGTTTATGAAATTAAAATTGTTTTTAAAAGATTAACTTATTTAAATTTGTACTTATATTATTACTTATTTGAATTTATATTTTAGATAAAATAATTGTATTTATACAAATATTTTATTATGTACTTTTATTTGAATTATATTTTAAAATAAAAAATTATGAATATCGATCTTGACGACTTTAATTAAATTTTTTAACAAATCGTTGATGGACAAGTTTATTTTATATATTTTAAATTAATTTTTTTATTTTTACTTAGTAAAAATTTGATTTTAATATTTATTAAAATAAAAAATAATTAATTAATTATTATTTAGACGTTACTAATATTAAATAATGTTTAAATATATTAAATTGTTAAAAAAATATTAACATTATAATGAATTTATTTCAAATAAAAAAAATGTTCGTTACGAAGGTTGTAGTAATTATTCATTTTTAATAATATATACATATTTCATGTTAACCTATCCATATTTTCTTTCTAACAATTAATATATTTAAAAATTATTTAATATTATAAATGTCTAAATAATAATTAATTAATTATTTTATCAATTTTTTAAATATCAAATAAAATTTTAAAAATAAAATTTAATTTAAAAATATATAAACTAAAATCTTGAAACAACTTTAATATAAAAAAGTTGAATTATAAAGTCTTCAATCACTAGACAATTTTATTATATAAAAAAAATTAAACTAAAGTTGTTAATTAATTGGCGACTTCATCTTAAAAAATTATATTAAAGTTGTTAATTGGAATATGACTTAAAAAAAAACTTATTACATGAAAAAATCGTTTATTAATATATGATTTTAACCAAAATCGTCTTTCTCATGTACGATTTTTTTATGGTGAATTTGTTTATTAAAGTATGACTTATCTATATATAAAAAAAATTAAAATTTACCATTTTAAAAATAAATAAAACAAATTACGCTGCTTTGTCAATTTGCCAAAAATTGACATATACTGGAAGCATTTTGGGAGGGGAGCTAACCGCTTTAGAAGAACATTGAAAGGAGTTGTCTTGGTTTGAAAGGACAAATATTCACGAAAGAACCCAAACGTTATACAGATGACATTAAAGCCAGACCTTTCCTTTGTGGTGTAATTTGAAGAAAAATAATTGTTTCCTATTCAAACATCCCAAAATAACACTTCATTATACTTATGCTGTTATCAATAATCACTTTTTTAAGATAGATCATTTGTATGATTTTATATTTAAATTTAAATTTTTTAAATATTAACACTTTTTTAATTTTTTTTCATGGTACAAAATATAGTTTCTTTTTATTTGATACTTTTTTTTTTTACTTTTTTTTTTATTTTTCTCACACTCACTCTTCCTTAATATCTTCAATCACTTAAGATAGAAAATATTTTTTTTCTTGTTTTCTTAATATTTTCAATCAGCTTGAGAATGCAATTTATTTTTTTACTTATTTATCTTTCTTTAAATATCTTGATATATAGCATCTAATATCATTTTATTTTTAATTATGTTTTATTTTTATTGGTAAGATATGAAATTTTATGTAAATTGAATAATAATATTTTGAAAGATTAATAATTTGTAGGATTAATACTTAATTTTTTTAATTATTTTATATTAATTTAATAAGAATTATCTTATTAAATCTTTTTTATAATAATTATATAGTTTATATTTATTATTTTAAAATAACACATTTTTAATATATTTAATTAAATGTTTAAGTATAATGATATAGTTGTATAATATTTTAAATTTATTAATATTTTAATATAAATATAATAAATTAAAACATTTATTCCATCAATAATAATAATAATAATTAAAATTTATAAAATTATAAATATTTATTTATGTATAAAAAATAATATTAAATTAATTTATATATAATTAATTTAAAAAAAATAATTTAAAACAGAATATGTTGAGGACGAAAAAAACTCAGAAGATGAAAGCTGAAACTAATTTTTAACTCTTATAGAAGTCACAGATAAAAACGAGGATAGTTAAGGAAGCGGCACGAGAGTCGAAAAAAGACGTAAACTCTCGTTTTGATTCCACCTACAAATCACAAAGAACAAAAAATCACAGCTCATACCCACCTTTTCGTTTTTTTTTTTTAATTCTAGATGTGAGAGACGAAAATTATATTTTTCTTTAAGCCAACTTTTTGTATATATATATTTCTCATAACAAAGTTAATACTATAATCACTTTTAACCATTTTATTAAAGTGAAAATATCTTATGATTAATATATAATTTTTTTTTTACAAATTAGAATGGCTTTAAACTATATTGTTTGTATATAAGCATTCTTATGGAGAAAGTTAAAAATAAATAAAAAATTAAAGATAAATAGTTAAAAATATATTTTATTGTGCTAGATAAGAACTGTATAAATAAAAAATGAAATTCTTATTTCATTTTAAAATATATAATTTTCAAATTGCATCAATCAACACTGTAAACACTTGTTAATTCTTTTAAAAATATTAATTACATGTTGTATATATTTTGAATTTATACTTTTTTAAATAAGTTATTTTGCTTTAACCTAATTTATATTAATCAATTAACTTTATACGGCTAAGATTGTGAATGAAAGTTAAATATGTGTTGTAATTTCCCACATAATTAAAAGACAAACTATTATGTTCAAACAAATAAATTGTAATTATTTATGTTTTTATTAAAAACCATTTGTTGATAAGCAAAGTGTTATATTAATCATATATACGATATTTTTCTGTTACATTATTCATTTACGTCTATTTTAATATTAAATTATGTAATTATCTGAAATATTGAACTTACAACATGAAAAAGATGTTGGTGTGAGATCAAATATATGCAACCACTCATCGGAGACCTGAAAATGAAAAAAAAATGCAAGCTACAGTAATTAATATGTTCATATATCCATCACAAATTGTGATGAAATTTTTCTAAAATTGTTTGTGACGTCGCATAATCATCACAATTTGTGATGCTATATTATCATTATTATCTGTTACAAAAAAAAAATTCACAATTAACGAAGACCAGTTATTAAAAATATGTTAAATCATATATATTTTATTTTGTAAGAATTATTTATAACTTGCGATAGTAAATTTTTCGTCTGTTTGTGAAGGCATAAAATCATTCATGCCGTAATAACTATTTTTCTATTATCGTTATTTTTAACAAAATTTACATTATTATTTTGTGTCAAATTTCATTCACTAAAATTTATTTTTCTAGTGATAAAATTGAACATTTGGGTCTCTATATTAGATTTTTCTAGTAGTGAGACAGAATATGTGAATCTCTATATTATATTTTTTTTTTCTAGTAGTGAGACTTTCTAATAAGAAAAATGTAAATCAGTGTCCTAAAACTAAACCATATACACTAAAGATATTGATTGAATAATCATAAGTAAAATGGAAAAGCATTAAAAAAAAGTGATACTTGGGTAAAGCCACTTATTATTAGGAAGATGTTGCTAATAATTACATGTTTACAAGTTAGAACAAAGATTGTAGTTTAATTAAGTGGTTCAACTTACAAAACACGATGAGATGATAGTGACATTAATTTATCCTTATAGTCATCACAATTGAATCCATGATCTATCACACTCATAATATTGGATATGTATGAGTTTTTCCTTCAAAGGCACATATGATGGAGGCATGTAAAGCGAAACAAAGATCTTTGACCCTCCACTAATGTGTACAACCTATGGGGCCATATAGAAAAAGGCATCATCTCTCCAATTAGTGATGTCACTTTTGTCTTTTCCTTACAATTATTGTACATGTAATTCCAAATATAAAGTGGTCCATGAAAGTTCATGTTTATTCTTGCTGAAAAGGGGTGGCCTTTTGAGTCCCCCACCTACCGCATCCCTACCAAATTACACAAAACCCTAATTTATCAATCCCCATAGCAAAATGTATGTAATAATGAGTGTTCTTATAAGAAATCTAACATCTTTCATGGAATATATTCAGGAATGGAACTTTTAAATTTTGATGAATCTAGTTTATCTACAAATGACATTCCTACACTTAAATATAACATGATATGAGTTAGTAGATTGATTAATAAATAGAATAATCTTCTAATAATATTAAGACATTCTCATATAAATTCTAAAAATATTAACTTTTAGGTTAAATAATTAAACAATTCTCTTTTAAATGAAATATTATTATTAATATTATATTAAAGATATAAGATATTTTAGTGATTGTGTATTATCTTTAATATAATTATCAATAACTCGAAAATTAATTTATAAGATATACTATAAGTATGTCACATTTCAGTAAAATTTGTGTTTGGTTGAAATTCGAGGATAAATTATCCAAATTTGCTTGTGTTTGTCCTTAGTGGTGTTATCATCCTCTCCTTTATATATGCTCCTAATGGGTATGCATATGCTATTTCTTTGTTTCCACATATTTTGTCCTTTTGATTCCCCAATTAATTTTCATGTAGTACGGCTTCAAAATGATAACGGAAATGCTTACTTAGGAAAAATAAATAAAGCATCATTAAACGTACATCTTAAAATAGAGTGTATGGATATAGAAAAGAAGAAGAAGCAAATACGAGAAAAGAACAAAAAGATTGAAAAAAAAAATGTTGGAGAAAGAGATAGAAAAAAAAATGTGAGTGATAACATCTGTTAGTAATATAAAAGGTCATGTTATAATCTTTATGAATTTGTATATGGACAAAAACTCTTATCAGTGCAACGGTATTCAATTATTACTTAATTCATTGGACAAACGGTCCTTGATTTTATGTAAGAGGGTGTATCTATATGTTTTTTTAATAACAAACCAATATAAAATAATTGATGATATTATTATGGCATCCTTTATAAGGATTCCTGTTGCAAGATTTGTTGGAGAGACTTTAGGCAAACAAATTCTATAGAAGAATCCATTGATGTTTCAATCAATCAGTATTGCTACTACTCCGTCCCGCTATTCTTTAATTAGTCCAAAAAGAAAAGGTAAACAGATTTACGGAAAAAGCTTCATGATAGTGATGCGGTTTGAATTGGCAGCTAAGTGTCTGCTTGCAGTTTGTGTTTCAGACCGGAGACAAACACTTTTTGGTGTATAATGAATGGAATACAATTTTCTAAGAACATGATATGTCTGATATAAACTGTGATGTGTGATATGATATCTGCTTCATAGTAAATTTTTTATGACTTTCATGTCCACTAGTCATGGCTCAACTTAAGGTTTAAGAGTGTATCCTTAGGTTCTCATACTGCTTCGATTTTTTCCCATCTTGTATTTTAGGTTTTTTCCTTTTTCTTGTTTTCTAGGTCTGACATTGTTAGGCTACACCAAACCTTTTGACAGAGTTATGATATGACATTGATTCAGTTCTTGACCATAAAACTTAGTTGGCTCCTTAATACATCTGGATTACCAGAACATTCCACTGTTATAATAATATCTTCGCATACAAACAAGATTTTATTATTCTCAAATCTTTACAATCAAGGTGAGGATAAAATTAATATAATTGGTTGAAGAAGGTGTTATTAGAATGTTTTCGATAATTATATAATTATTTTTATTGATTAGAAAATGATGTTATTAAGGATTACTTCTGTACAACGTTTTGAATTTTAGCAAGTTAATATTTCGATTTCTAGATAGTTAATACTAAGAGTATTTAAGAATGTTTAAATATAGAGTTGTAATCATGTTTTCATTATAACTAAAAATTAATAAAAGTTATTTTTTCATAAATTCTTTATTATCAAATTGATACATTAGGGAGAGTTAGGATTTTTTTAGAAAAACTAGGGTTCTTTAGAAGAGTGAGAGTTAGGGTTTGAATGTCAGAAAAAGAGTATGAATAACTTCTATAGAGAGTGTTACTATAGTTGTGTCCCAACTGACGAAGGATGTCAACTATGATAAATGAAATACTCAGATGAAGGCTGTCTTTAAAGTCCAATGTGTTTGGAAGATAGTGGAAGAAGTTTTTGAACAACCAGAGACCATAAAAGAGTTGACAATCAATGAATTCAAGGAGTTACGGAAAAAATGTGAAAAAGACAGTGTAACTCTATTTTTGTTATTTTGAGTCATAAAAGATTTTGATTTTGAGAAGATGGTAGGAGCCACATTGCATCCGATGCATGGGACGAGTTAAAGAAAGAGCACAAGAAAAATGACTAAGTCACACGAATTCAACATGAGACACTACAAAGCGAGATGGAGGGCATGAAGATGAAAGGGTCGAAAAAAGTTTCTGAATATGTCATGCATGTTGAAAATGTGACAAAATAGTTTAATTAGAACATAGAGATATTTTCCACATAACAAATCGTTGAAAAGATCTTTAGGTCATTAACAAAATCATTTAACAACGTGGTGTGTGCGATAGAATAAGTGGAGAACTTGTCCGAGCTTTCAATAAAAGAATTGGTCAGATCTCTTGAAGCCTATAAGCACCGAATGAAGAAAAATAAAAACGACGATGACACGAGTGTGAAATTGCTCCAATCCGAGGAGAAGATGCTTTATTCTCATAATAATAAAGGAAGAAGATGTAGTGGTCAGTCCTAAGGTGGATGATTTGACCGAAGTGGTCGAGGCGGATTCGGTGGTCGAGGTGACGAGAAGGATGAGGGGCTCAACAAAACTGGCGAAGTAGAGGACATGGACTGAGAGGAGGTCGGCCAATGAACCACTCAAATGTCAATATTTCAAATGTGACAAATATGACCATTATATGAAGGACTGTCATTCGGAAAAATGTTTTAACTGTGGAAAGGAGGGGACGAGTAATCACATGTGTGGGGACGAGTACCTATTTAGCAGATTGAAGAAATATAAGAGCAATCATGTGTCTTTTGGAGATGGCTCAGAGGTCTCGGTAAAAGGTCGAGACACTATTTATTTCTTGTAGAATGATGACCTAGTTGGGTCAATCCAATAATTTTTTTGAGTGTGAGACAACTGATAGAGATAAAATACTCGATTTTTATGAAAGATCGAGTACTACAATTAAAGGACAAGTTTGAAAGATTGATTGCCCAAGTAGAGATAGGGAAGAATAGAATGTACAAATTGTAGTTGAGAAACATTCAGGAGAGGAGTTTGAGATTAAATGTAACATGAAGGAAAATTACCAATTTGGTCACATACATTTTTGTGGTTTAGCCGAGTTGACTCATAATGATAATCATGATATTGTTCGAGTCGGTGATGCAAGTGAAAGAGATCGAGTAGGGTGAACTCATGTGTCACCAGCTGTTATCATATCAAAATGAGAGAAGGAGTTCATGCATAATGAAAAATGGCGAGCTAGAAAGGATGATAGAGCCCGAGTTATTACACCACATGTAGTAACAAGTTCAAAAACTGAGGAAAAAGAGATAACTGAATCGATGAAGTTGAAGAAAAATATGAAGAACACGGTACTCGAATTACCAAGTATCACTACAAGAAAAAACGCTATTAGCGACCGAAAAAATCGGTCGCTAATGGCCAAAATTCGGTCGCTATTCTGTTAGCGACCGAAATTAGCGACCGAAATGGTTGGTCGCAAAAGGGCAAGTCGCTAATTTGTTAGCGACCGATTTACATTTCGGTCGCTAAATAGCGACCGATGAGGTGGTCGCTAAAGTGGTCGCTAAATAATTTGGTCACTTATTCATTGAAGACCAAAATAGCGACCGAAATTAATATAATAAATCGGTCGCTAAATCCGTGGTAAAGTTTTAAAAAATAGTGACCGATATATTCGGTCGCTAATATATTAATATAATTATTTAAATAAAAATTAAAATCGATCGCTAAATTGGAGACAAAGTTAACAATAATAGTGACGGATATAATCGATCGCTAATATATTAATTGAATTATTTAACTAATAATTTAAATCGATCAGCTAAATTGGAGACAAAGTTAACAATAATAGCGACGGATATAATCGATCGCTAATATATTAATTGAATTATTTAACTAATAATTTAAATCGGTCGCTAAATCGGTCGCTAAATTTGAATTGTATATTATAATAAATTTGTAGTGACCAAAAATTCGGTCGCTAATCTAACCAAATCTGAAAATTTTCGTTTAAAATTTTGTATATCCAATTTGACAAAAATTGTACCTGCTTAATTCATCCAAACATAACACAAATGAAAACTTAAGAACTAAAGTCAAATTATTCAAATCATAAAATTTGTACCTGCTAATTCATCCAAACATAACACAAATGAAAACTTAAGAACTAAAGTCAAATTTTGTACATCCAATTTTACAAAATTTGTACCTGCTTAATTCATCCAAACATAACACAAATGAAACTTAAGAACTTAACAAATAATCAAGATTCAAAGTCTTGATATCATAAAATTGAAAATTAGTCCTCTAGTATATTGTCAGTGTCATGTTGACTTGTAGTAGGATGACTATTCATTTGAATATGTTGTAAAATAAGCTTCATCTCGCTCATCTTGTTGGCGTTGGTTGTTCCTCAACTTCTGCATCTCTTCTTCAAGTGTCTTCTCCTTATTATGCTTTGCCACCAATTCAGCATTTAACTTTTCAATAGTCTCACGCATTTGTTCAATTTGATGAAGTACTTGGAGTTTGAGTAATAGAAGATTGAGAACCTGATGTAGTAGTGAACTTTTTGCTCAATGTACCAAGTCCATACACATTTCCTTTTTTATTTTCACCTCCAACAACTGAAATGTATATTTGATTATCATCAACAGAGACAATAGGATACTCTTGTGAAGATGAGCCTTCACGCAAGTTATGTTGATGGACTTCTTCTCTGCGCTGCATATATTGTTCCTAAAAATGAAGTGAAATATAATTATTATGAAGAAAACATATATTGAATAATAAACTATAACTTAGATGTTAAACATACAACAAGATAACGAGTTTTTTCATTGACTCATTGTCCAGTCTTTAATTTCTTTGTCCTCTCAACAACCTCCCAAACGGTTGGTTCCCGTTGAAACTCCGTAGTCTACACATTAAAATGAGACAAAATTCATTACCTAAAGTGTAATATATTGTATTAAATTACTTATATAAAAATATAATAAACTTACCATCTTCTCAAAGTGAGCTGCAAGTAGATATGGAACCCCCACAAGTAAGTCGAGGCACCCTTATCAATAGCTCGATTAGCCTTGGCAATGACACTCTTGTTTTGGAAATCTGGAGAACTCCAATGTAAGTCCAAAGATGCTCGAACAGCTGGCGGTATCCAGATTCCCGTATCCTTACCATTCCTAACTTTGTTCATTGAGTTTTTTAAAATTCGAGAACCTTTCTTAACTAGATAAATGTGGAGGAGGGGGACCAATCTCAACAACGTTCTTCTTGAATGCCTTTTTATTCCTCCTAAATGGATGGTCTTGTGAAAAAAATTGACGGTGACAATCAAAATAGGAGATCTTGTGGCTATGACTAAGAGAAAATGTCTTTGTTCTTTCCATACATATAGGACAAGCAAGTCTACCAGCAGTCATTCAACCAGAAAACAGGCCATAAGCTGGGAAGTCATTAATTGTCCACATCAAAGCAGCTTTCATCATAAAATTTTGCCTCAATGACACATCATAAGTCAATATCCCTTCATTCCATAAGGTGCACAAATCATCTATAAGTGGTTGCAAGAATACATCAATCTTATGCTTTGGATTTGAAGGACCTGGAATTAAAATTGTCAAAAACATAAATTCTCTCTTCATGCACATGGTAGGTGGAAGATTGTATGGAGTTAGGATAATCGGCCAACAAGAATAAATTTTACCATACTGACCAAAAGGATTAAACCCATCAGCACATAACCCTAATCTGACATTTCTTGGGTCTTGACTAAACTCTGGGTGAAGAGTGTCAAAGTGCTTCCAAACTTCCCCATCCGATGGATGACACATAATATTGGGGTCCTTTTCATTCTCGCTATGCCATCTCATGTGAGGTGCAAGTGGCCATTGAAGAGTATAACCTTTTGAGTCTAGGAATAATTGGAAAGTACCACATTTTTTTAATAGAAATCTTTTTCTCAACTCCCTCCTACCGATAATCTTGTATCGATCCATTCCGCATATCAAACAATTAGTTATATTTTTAGATGAATTTTCATTATAATACAACATGCATCCGTTTGGACAACAATCAATTTTGAGACAACCCAAACCCAATTTTATCACCGACTTCTTAGCTTGGTTAAAATTCGTAGTCATTCGATGATCTTCTCGGCATAGTCTCTCCCATAAATTGGACCATTCTATTAAAACATCCTTCAGCCATATTATAATCGGATTTCAAGCTTAGAGCTTCCAAAGATGCTGACAATTCGAGTGATGTGTACATCCTTCCCACAATGGTGCTTGCGCAGCTAGCAAGCATGTCAAAGAATTTTTGAGTATCGGGATTAGGGTTTTCTCGCCATGTCCTCTTCTCTAATTTCACTCTCGGTTTGAAGTTGGTATCCAAGTGACTGGTCCGACATGATCCATAATCATTTGATGGAAAGGACCTAATTCTTCCCTTTGTTGAAAAGTTCCATGTGATCTCTCAACAACCACTCGCAGGAAATTTCTAGCGACTCTTCACCATGGTTTGTCCACCAATAATAATTAGGCATGAATCCCTCTTGATAAAGATCCCATGCAACTTGATCAACAAACTTGAAAACTTTACACTTACATTTAACACAAGGACATCTTAACATTTCACCTTGTTCTTGAAACATAGGTTGAGCAATAACATATTGTAGGAAATTATACACTCCTTCTCTAAATTCATCTCTGTTAGATGTTTGTTACCATCCAATTTTTGATACATCCACATTCTACCAACGAGGATCTCCATTCTTGCAAACTAACTACAACAATCAGCATAAGTGAAACTGCATTATTCACTTTATGTGATGCACTACTTATGTTTTTCTATTCTTGCAAATTAACTACAACAATCAAGCATAAGTGAAGCTGCATTATTCACTTTATGTGATGCACTACTTATGTTTTTCTATTCTTGCAAATTAACTACAACAATCAAGCATAAGTGAAACTGCATTATTCACTTTATGTGATGCACTACTTATGTTTTTCTATTCTTGCAAATTAACTACAACAATCAGCATAAGTGAAACTACATTATTCACTTCATGTGATGCAGTACTTACGTTTTTCTAATACATTTTTTCCAAGGTATTTATCCACTACTTATGCAGTACGTATGATACAGACCACCAAATAATTGTATAAGTAAACCCAATAATTATGAAATTTCTTTTCACTAAGATCCAACAGATAATTAAAACAAATTACAAATGGTTAACCTGAGGGCGTACAGTCTCAATAAGTTCCCAAATTGGTCTATCAAGCACCACCAAATCCGCAGTAAGAGGGATCGAAGAACCTATCTACTTCACAAATCCACCTACAACAAACGATAAAGAAATTCTGTCAAAATTATCTCTCCTATATTATTCACAATGCAAGAGAATAACAAGTATATACATTCAAACAAGCCAAACCTTGGTTGAGGGTGTCGAGGTCGCGGAGGAGGTTAAGAACGAGAGGTGTGGCGCGGTGGCTCACGGGGTGGCGTCCGGTTGACGAGGAGCTTTGGTGGAGGTTGGATTAGGGTGAGGGCTGACTTGGAGGGAGC